CCAGACGGCACAATTTTCTTGTTTTTTAATTTATTTACGGATAGCCAGGGCCACACTACAACGCTCAGACGTAATTTACAAACAAAGCATGTGTTTAGTGAGTCCGCCAGATCAGAGGCAGTAGGGATGACCAGGGATGTTCTCTTGAAAAGTGTGTCAATTGGACCATTTTCCTGTCAAAATGTAACGAGTACTTTGGGGTGTCAGGGAAAATGTATGGAGTAGAAAGTACATTATTTTATTTTGGAACGTAGTGAAGTTGTCACATCCTGATCTGTTTCACCTGTCTTTGTGATTGTCTCCACCCCCCTCCAGGTGTCGCCCATCTTCCCCAGTGTATTTATAACAGTGTTCTCTGTTGCTAGTTTGTTTTGTCAAGCCTACCAGCGGTTTTCCCCTTGCGCCTGTCTTTTCTAAATTCCTGTTTTCCTGGTGTCACACCACCCTGGATTATTGACCTCTGCCTGTCATTCTGTACCGTTTGGACTCTGATCTGGATTCCTGACCTCTGCCGCCCTTGACCTGTCGTTTGCCTGCTCCCTGTTTTTGTAATAAACTTTTACTTCGACACTGTCTGCATCTGGGTCTTCTCCTGAAACGTGATCGAAGTAAAGTACAGATACCAAAACTACTTAAGTAGTACTTAAAGTATTTTTACTTAAGTTCTTTACACCACTGTTCTTCAGTATTGTCTGCACACACTTGAAACATGGCCAAATTCTTACACTGCAGTGGTTTGGGGATGAAAGCTCTTAGAGCGTATCTTCCATAACCAAGGTTAACATGCGTAGGTATTTGCTCTTTGTCGAAAAACAACAGGACCTACAGACCTTTCTCCATTCACCAAGCGGGTCAGAAGCCGGGCACCAACCACACGAGGAATTCTCTTCAGCTATTCAACCTGAACATCCGTCGTCACCCCCCTGATAACTCCTTTGAGGTGTTCTACTCAGAAGTTCAAAACACAAACATTTATGTTGTCCGGATTCTTGAGGCCCACTGCAATCTTCCTCTGTTCTTCAGAAATACAATTAATCAAAATAAGACCACTCCTGGTCACTCTGACAGACTCCACTTTTCCAAGCGCAGACTTCACCATTTGAGACACCTGAAACGGGTCTCCCACATATGCATCCCAACAAGACGTGATTCGTTATCATTCATACACGTATCCTCCACTCCAATTTTAGACAATTTCCTTTTTGTTCCAGTTTTCGATACTCCTGTTGTCCATTCAGAACATTCGTCTTCGCCAACTTTGCTCGACGCGCTGCTTGCTTCGAACTCAGCATCCACTTCCGCCATCTTCTCCACAGAGACCTCTCCCTCTCTAAGATCAAAGTTTTGCCCAACCAGCCGCCCGATGGCAGTATTATTCATTTTATGTCGCAAACGCCGTAAAAGGAATAATGGCGCCATCTGGCGGCCGGTTGGGCTATTCAAAGTTGTTATTTTTGCTATTAGGCTACTCCAAAAAGTTTGATTGAATTGTAATGAATGAGGATAGCTAGTATTGTACATAATGTTGTCTTATTTGGGAAGTATTTGTCAGCCGATTTTACCATAAGCACTTTTTTGTCTAGTCACCCCATTTTAGTAGACTAGGTGCCAGTGTGTCTGCACTGTTGTCAAATGTTCTATCTATATCGATGCCTCTTCTCCTTCCCATATTTTGTTAGAAGTGAACGGTAAGTGGCAGGGCAGAGGTAAACGATGGAGCAAGATAAAACTGGGTCAACAACATTCTCCTTATTTTCTCACAGATCAGGAAACATCTCATCTCTATACAGGGTTATGTTCCCACAACAATCATTTGTTAGAGTCCACTAAGTTTTCTAGACTTGACTCATTGTCAGTCTTTCAAAAAATTACATTGTTTCGAGGGAAATGCAAGTTAAACCCCTCCCTTGTTGCAGTATTTTTGGTGACCAGTAGATGGTGCTGATGTTACATGACAAGACAATAGTGTGAGGCACAAGTATACAACGATTCACAGTTTCCCCGGCAGTTATTAATATATATGTGCCAGTTATTCCCCATCGCTGTCAGTTACAAATGTCTGCTTATATCAGAAAATGTTAGACTATTATTCTAACATAAATTACCTAACTATAGATGGTACCAGACCAAAGAGCGTGTTCAATGGTCTTGTTTTCACTGGTAATCTTACCCAGGGTGGGTAAAGGCTCTATAGGGTCAAAGATAATGTATAGGGAACAGTATACATTTATGTAGCCTATACGGGAAGACCACCCCTTCACTGCTACACCGGACACGAGTCTGCTACACCCCCAACCCCAAACCTCTACACTGTCAGAGGTAGCTCCATTCATGTATACTTGACTTACTTTGACTCATTGGGAGCATAGGTCATCTGACAAAAACGTTCTCCAGTGTGCAGTATACATTTATGTAGCCTATACGGGAAGACCACCCCTTCACTGCTACACCGGACACAAGTCTGCTACACCCCCAACCCCAAACCTCTACACTGTCAGAGGTAGCTCCATTCACGTATACTTGACTTACTTTGACTAATTGAGGAGCATAGGTCATCTGACAAAAACTTTCTCCAGTGTTATGCGGTTTTCTCCACTTCTTTCAAGGACGTTCTTGCTTCCTTCAGCTCTGCTTTATTCATGTATATGTATCAGGGCAAATTTAGATGCACGACTCAGAGGGCAAAATGATTATTGAAGTGAACCAGTAAACCTTAATAAATATAATTATAATCATTGTCATCACACCTGTTTGTATTAATAAATATTATCATCTGACAATAATTTTAAAAAAGAGTTTGAATGGTGATGAGTCAGCTATATTATTTTAGACAAATACGTTGCATCAGTTTTTGAGAATTCCCCAATCCACAACAGTGACTTCTTAAGCTTGAACCTTCCCTGGTTTTCATCACAAAACCAATAGCACTAGAACTTACATACACTTTTCCATGTTGACTTTTTCAGAGATTTGCCAGTCCAATATCATTAATGAATACCTTTTAATCAGCATGTTGAAGACACACATACAATTGTGAACAAAAGTGAATGAGAATAAATTAAATTACTTTTTCTTTGCATTACTATATCTTTATTTTATGATCCATATGAAATCAACAATGTAATAATCTATGATGAACCAATGACATATCCGAAACATACATGATATGAACATTGCTTAATAAGGGCCTTCAATTTAAGGCACATTCAGATGTTTTTAATCATAGCAGGTTGCATTAAAAAAAGAGGTGTGTTTACATGTTTGAGAGGGTCATCTTTACAATTTGGAGCTATTGTACCAAAAAATGAAAATATGTTTAAATTGTCCATTGTATTTGAAAGGTTTAAGAGTCCATCAAGTTATTATGATATCCCTCCAATTATCCCTTGAACAATCTAGCTCTTTTGTGGTGTGCCTTGCCTCAAAAGAAAAATACAAATTCCCTACAAGCTGTGTGAAAAACATATCCTGTTGTATTTACACATTCTATTTTTCGGACTAGATACAAACTCAGCATTTCCTGTTTGTGAGGTTCCACATTGGACTGACGTCTTTACGGTTTGATCATCTCAGGATAAAAACGGTATAAACACTGCTGTTAGGCCATTGCTGTTGAAGCTCTACAAAAATAACATGTTTTCCAGTCTTTGCAGTGATGGCCGATGTCCACTGTGGGCTGGGCAGAGATATGTTCAGCAGACAGGAAAAGGTGGAGGCAAGTGGAGAGAGGTGTGAGGGGGGGGGGGGGGGTCTGAGGAGTTATCGGAGAGAGGAGGAGTGCAGACAAACTTCCACAAAACAAACCGTCTTAAGACCAGACCTGTCAATGCTGAAACACGTAGTCGTGCCTCTAGATGGAAACCTCATACTCTCTTGTGTCCTGTGAAATTAGGACATAGTTCTGAATTAGGGACAAGCTTGTACACAAGAAGGTATACTGAGAAGTACAGTAGATCATATTCTTACTATAATCACAAAGGCCATTCCTCTTTTTGTGAATGAGCCATGTGATAACACACATCTGTTTGTAGACTATGATAGGGATATCACAGAGATATATTTAGTGTGTGGAGGTGGTCAGCCCAAACTGTGAGGCTTTTCCATTTTCACCTGAGAGAGGGGACAATGATTTTGAATTGTCTATACACACCATTGTCTATACACACCATTGTCTATACACACCATTCACATGCATACAGTATATATTTATTTATATTCCGGACTCTGACATTGCTCGTTCTGATATGTCTTAATTTCTTGTTCGTTCTTTTGTTCGTTTTTTTACATTTAGATTATGTGTGTATTTTATTGTATTGTATTGCTAGATATTGTTGGAGCTAGAAACATATGCATTTCGCTGCACCTGTGATAACATCTGCAAAACTGTGTACGCGACCAATAAACTTTGATTAGGTTTTTTGATTAGAGGTTTGTCCCTCTCCTCTGACCCATTTAAATGCGCTCAACCTACTGTGGCCTTTAGTTCAATAAGCTTACGCTGTGTAATAGGTTCAGGCTGCAGAATCAGAGTGTGGAATTGATGAAGACTGACTGACAGACAGACTGGAGGCTTAATAAGCAGGTTGCAGCCTAACGCTTAGTCTCACCTCGTTGTTCTTCAGGAGTGCAGTCATGGAAGGATAGAGAAACAGACAGACATACAGACAGACATTCGTTAGTTATCTGAAAGCATGAGCATGAAAGTGTCATCTTTCTTTCAAATACTATTTGAACCCATGTCTGAACCATGTCATAGCACTCTGTCAAATAATAAAGCTATGCTTTGTCAAATTAACTAGGCAACCTTTTGTCTGCATCAGGTGTAATGAAATGGCCCTTGTCTATGATTGAAGGTGAATGGAGTATAGCTTTACACCCCTCAATCCTATTTCTATAACATCACCTAACGGTAAATTAGATTTGGTGAATGAACCAGCAATATGGCAAACTAGATGGTGCTTTAAGTGCATCATCTCAGACACGAATGACAGCGTCTGATTTCAAAATTTTGGGGGGCTTAATAATTCCAGCAGGCATCTTAAAGAACCAGTGAATATCTCTATATCAGAACGTACTGTGGTCTCTGTTTCGTAGAGGGAGTTGTCGAAGGTGGACTCTCCTGGGATGTGGTCATATGGTGAGGAGGTTGACATGGGAAGACACAGAGGCTTCCCCTGAACCCTAGAGAACACACACATAGTGTCACAAGGGCAGCATAGTATACTTACAACATTATAACAGAACCTGTTGGGTCTATAGCTATTGGTTAGACTCAGTGCTTGACTTGGGCAGGAGCTCACTGGAGCTGAGTACCGGCACCTCAAACGTTCTCCTGCTTGGGCTTCTGTTCCTCTTTATAGAATATTATCTCAAAAGTATTGTGGAGCTCCTGCACCTAAATATAAACAGTACCGGCACCCAAAATCAGTACCGGCACCTATTTCAGTCAAAGTCAAGCACTGGTTAGACTACTAGGTACGATGGATGATGATAGCTTTCATACTTTCAAAGTATTTTTTAATCTATATAAAGTACACATACTAGACCTACTTAGAGAAGTAGAGGTAGATCCCGATGATGAAGACCATGATGAGGGCCACTGGTATAAAGACTGTTAGAGCTATATTGGCTCGCTCCATGATGTAGTCTGCATTGGCAACTGGTGAGCAGAGAGGTAGAGGATTCAACAGGGACACACTCAACTGTTATGATAACCTAAAGATGCACACTTCAATGTAGCACACTTGAAGTTGCTGGGAAGTACCGTATTTCATTTTTTTATTAGGTCTTGACTTCATGTTTTAATTTGAAAGATCTAACGATTGCTCTGCAGACATGACGGCACTTACAGTCTAACCTGCGTCCATTTATAAACTCCTTTGAGGAGGCTGTAAAGGAATGGAGAACATCAGAACACAGGTGTTAAAACATACAGACAGATATATTGTTCATCATGACCTACTGTGAACAATGCCAGAGTGAACTACACACACAGGGGAGTACATGTCCGCAGTTCCTACCTCTGCAGACAGGGGGCAGGCTGCTCCACTGTGAAGGGTGTCCAGGGACACAGCGGAGGACTGGCTCCCCCAGCAGCTCATGGCCTCTGAGGCAGGAGAAGCGCAGCATCTCCCCGGCCTGGTAGAGAGGCTTCTCTGAGATCTGGGTGCTGTAAGACGGGGTGCCAGGGTTCCTGCAAGGCTCATAGGTCACCGCTGAGAGAGGAGTGGACAGGACACACACGCAGACACACACACACAGTCATCATATCATTTATTTTTGTAAATAACTAGTAAAACTCTTGTTGTATTGTATGAATTGGACACACTGCCAATCCAGCTAGCACATAACATTCTGAGAACTGTATGTTTCTTAAAGCTTGGTGAGAGTGTGGTTATCTTATGGTTATTTTGCATACAACCTTCCCACAATGTTCTGGGAATGGTGCAGGATACCCAGCTAGCACATAACGTTCTGAAAACCAGGTGGCAATGTTCTGGGAATGGTGCGGGATACCCAGCTAGCACATAACGTTCTGAAAACCAGGTGGCAATGTTCTGGGAATGGTGCGGGATACCTAGCTAGCACATAACGTTCTGAAAACCAGATGGCAATGTTCTGGAAATGGTGCGGGATACCCAGCTAGCAAATAACGTTCTGAAAACCAGGTGGGAATTTTAGTACTTCAGCATAAGGTTTCCTGATGGTTCTATTAAAGTAATGTTCTCAAATTGTTCAGAGAATGTTAAGAAACAATGTTCTTCTGTGGAAATGTCAGTACTTCAGCATAACGTTTTGTGCAGGTTTCCTCGTGGTTCTATTTAAAGTAATGTTCTCAGAACATGGTGCAATGTGCAGAAATCGTGCCGCCATTTCCTGGTTGCTAAAATTCTAATAGTTCGCCTAATTTCAGTTTCTGTGACAAAACAAGCAATGTATCATGTAGAGAATCATTGTACCATCTAAACCGCTGTGAAATATATTTTCAATAACCTAAAATATTGTATTTTCAGCTGTTTGAAGCAGGTGTACAAAACCGAAAGTAAAAAAATGCAAAAACGAAATAGAGCACATAGAACAGATCTACCGCTTCTTAGACTTGCTTTTCATGAGAATGACAGATCTATCTCACATTTCTATGTGAATTTGGTCAGGTCGCCCCCCAAAAGTTACATATTGCAGGTTTGACAAACAATGTTCTTCTATGGGAATTTCAGTACTTCAGCATACCGTTTTCTGCAGGTTTCCTCATGGTTCTATTTATATTGGATCACTCCAATATATTGCTATCACTCCGTGGCGGAGGGATACATCCGAGGTGAGGATTTACAGATTTACTCCCGTGTACACCTGTGTCGCGGCTGGGGTCCACCCCTATATATAGACCCCATGGCCGCAACACACGTTCTCTTTCATTTTCTCGGCGGACGTCTGTATGGTTTGAGGTACAAACTTTCTGAAGTTCGCAATATCTTGCGTGGAAGTATACTCACTGGCTGTTTGCAGCCTGGAGCAGCTGGCCACATGGCCAGCCCCTCCTCTTGAGTGTCCACTCGCTGCGCGCGGTTGGTATGTATCTTCCGCCCGTGGTTTGTGGTACTTGTGTTTCGTTAGCGTTACACTACGACTCCGTGTGCATCCATTAGTATGGTGGCTCTTTCTGCACAAACTGTAATTTACCTTAAACAACTTGCCAACTGGCTTGTTCTATGTGTGTGTTGTGAATTGCTTTAACATGCTGCTAATTACCCTGCAGGTTTCTTTTCTTGTTCTTTCACCTGCAGAATGTAAGAGTATCGTGGTGGGCTTTCCACTAAGTTGAGACATTAACTTTGGAGTTCCTTAACGGAGTTACTCCATCATATGGTGCTGTTTTTGCTGCTTGGAAATTAAACTGGCTAGGTAATATTGCAGTTGGCGTAAAACAAAAACTAAAAAACTAAAAAATCAAATCCATTACCTGCTACTGGGTAATTTATCCCTCACCAGGTTCCTATTCCTCCAAGCGGGTCACGACATAAGCTCTCCCAGGGCGTCGGACCCCTGCTCCGTGGCCTTGTTGGCTTGGCTGAGCTTATGGCTTCCCTTTGTGACAGGTGTGATGGTGGCATCCCCCCTGGGGATCTGCATACCTCGTGTATGCACTGCCTGGGTTTGAGCCACACGGAGAGGGTGGTGGAGCACCCTACTGGATGCCTGTTTTGTGTGGTGTTCTCAGAACGCCTGCGCCTGGCACGATTGGAGGCCATGCGCGAGTGGGTCAGCCAGGATCGGGCTCAGGCTGGGGATGAGCTCCCTCCCTCAGGAGTGGTGCACCAGTGAACTGTTACTCCCTCTACTGGGCCCAGTACCCCTCCCAGGAAGCGTGGCTGGAGCCACCGCAGACAGGGCCCATCTGCTGCCAGTCCTGGACGGGGGCAGGAGTCGGACCGCTGGGACCACCTTGATCGGCAGCTTCTCCCGGTCTAAAAGGGCAAAGTGGGAGGAGGGTGTGGTCCCCCTAGGTGTTGTCCACAATGCTCGAGGGGTACAGACTCCAATTCCGGTGCTGGCCCCCGTCCTTCAGGGGCCTTCGTGTCACCACAGTGGCCGACCCCCTGAAGAAGAAATCCCTGCTGCTGGAGATCTCCTCACTCCTGGACAAGGGTGCAACAGGACAGCTAGGTGGGTTCTACTCCACTTATTTTGTGGTCCCAAAAAGAGACAAAGGGTTTCGACCGATTCTGGACCTCCGCAACCTCAATGGGTACTTGAAGGTACTGAGGTTCCACATGCTGTCCCCAGCCCGCATGTTGCAGGCCGTGTCTAGAGACCAGTGGTTTGTGACGCTGGACCTGAGGGATGCGTACTTCCATGTATGGTATTATTTTATGTATCATTAAGGCAAATGTAGGGAGAGGTCAAAGGTAAAATAATAATATTAGTAATAAGCATGGATATGTTGTAAAATTAAAAACCTATATGCCTTAAAATGTTTATTGATTGAGAACCAGTTGAAAGGTTAATACAGAGCAGAGACATTTATGTGTTTTTCATGGACTCTCTGCAGCTGGTCTGGGTATGTCTATGACATGTGATGTACATACAACTCCTCGTGATGGCTGTGTGGGGATTGGAGTAATAATGGACCTAGTGTTATCATTTGTTTTGCTTATGACCCTATGACCTGACACATGGCCACATGCACATAATCTCAAAGGCCAGGGAGGATGGTAAATGATAAATGTTTAAATCATGTTTAAGTATTAATGGATATGTTCTATAATGTGTTATGAAATGATAATGGTGAAACAGAATGAACATGATTGATACTTTGTACTCCAGATGCATGCCTGGATAGTGAATATAGTCAATACAGAGTATGATTGTTCTTTAACCTACGTATGTGCATAATTTTTGAGTCATGCCACTAATAAGACACAGTGGCCCCACTTAGAGAAGCGCAAGTAGCCCTCGTGAGCAGCCAACATGTGATACTGAAAGATGCTATTGATTCACATAGGGAGGTGTAACCATCAGTTGTATCAGTGTGACTGTATAAAAAGGAGCACTCCGGTTCAGGATAAGCAGTGGTTGCTCCATGGAGCAAAGCTCAGGCTTTGTTATGCAATAAAGTCTAAATTCTTAAATTCACAGGCTCCGATGTCTTGAGAGATATTTTTGAGTTGATTATCTAGTGAAATATTTCTACTACGACATAATTGGCACCCCAGATGGGACCTGATAGGGATCAGTGACGGTATACATTTGCAGTTGTGAAACGGCTTGGACGGACCATACAAACAAAAGTGGCCGCTTTTAAAAGGTAAGCCAAGTTCTTACTTAAATAGTATAATGTTTGTGTGGTCCGATCGGGGGCTCGGCAACATCTAAAGAAATACCAAGTAGGTCTCTCCAAATTTAAGAACCAGAAAATTAGAGACTAGGGGCTTTTGAATTTAAGAATACATGTCGCTGTTGTTTGTCTGAACCGTCTGTTCAATTGATTTGATTCATTTGATTCATTTGATTCATTTGATTGATCTTGCTGATCGCTTTGTCTGGGTCATTTCGACACGGGTGGTTGTACAGCTGGTTGAGCGATCAGACAATAACATGTTAAGTCCTGCAGATACCGCTTTAGACGTGTTGGGGGAAGTGAATCGTCTTGAGGACTGCTTAGGTAGGCAGAAATCCTGGGTAATACCGCTTCTTTTTCTATGTTGAGAAAGTGAAACAGAAAAAATAGGGCAGAATTGACAGGTCGCTTAGGAAAGCGTAGTAGAAGTCCAGGTGTGTTGAGGAAGTGTAATACCTAGGGGGCTAAGTAAATAGAAATCCTGTGGATACCGCTTTGGAGAGCTAAAATTAGCATTCCAGAGGACTGAACGGGCAGGTGGCTACGGATACCGCTCTGATGAGGAATTCTTTGTTGGAGGTCTGCACAGGTAGGTAGGGAATCATCCTGGGTTGTGATGAAGCCAATATTAGGTAGGGTCGATCAGGTAAAAAAAGTTAGGTCATCCTGAGTAGGTGAACGGGTTAAATAGCTACAAGGGCTTCAAAATTTTGATAAAGTGTTATATATAGAGTAGGTCTGCTCATCTCATATGGGGAATGGGTTGCTTGGGCGGCTGTGAGTCATTCAACTGTCTGATTCATTTGGGCACAAGTGGCTGCTCATCTGTGTGAGTGAGAATAATAAGAAATCCTGCAAGTAAATAGCCTTTCTGTAAGGAAAGGAAATATATTTGAGGTTGTTTGAAGCTTCTGTCTGATGGAGAAAGGGTGTGCCCAATCTCACATTAGGAAAGAGAAGAATAAATGGTGCGTGGATATTCATTGACCAACTGAGTGTAGAAAATTCACGTTACCAGGAGGGGTAGAATAAATCCTGTTGGAGGAACAGGTCACGTGTACCGGTGTGGTCATATGACGTTTATGCATTGTATTTTGATAAATCTGTTAGGGTATGTTTCTGACGTTATATTTAGAAACTTTAGAGGTGATGCAGTATTATGATAAATTGACTACAGTAAAATAATAACTAGGATAGGGTTAACATTCCAAATTTGGGCCTTTTGATAGAATAAAATATTCCTGTAGGTTATACAAAGTAATTAAGGGCGTTTAAGAACAACATTGTATAAATATGGAATAAAAGTGGTATAATGATGTAAATTAGTCGCACTCTGAAGTTTGAATGATGAGATATAGAGGTGTGTTTGATAATT